CATTCTATAATAGTTAAAGAAGAAATTTTTCTGTTTAACTTAACAACAAAAAATGTGCAAACCTTTTCATTTATAGAAAACGCTTACTTTTGCTAGCGTTTTTCAGAAAGTAACTTATATTTGACTTTGTCAGAAGTTTTTTATTCAAATTTACTCTTTACTCTTTGTTATTTGATTTTATTAGCTTATTTTTTATCTTGTAAATATTTGCTTAGATTTATAGCACAACTAGAATGGTTATTTTTAGGTTACATTCCAAAGCAACCAAAGTTACCAGTTGGAGCACAATTTTATCCCACAAGTAGTACACATTCATTAAACAAAATTTGCAGTGTTTTTTCGCCAATATCAACAAATCCTTCATCGATAAGAAGGGTGAGGACGGATTATTTTGATAGGTCAAACTTTTACATATAACTTTGGTAAGTAATTTCTTTTATGGATTCCATTTTGTCTGATTCCACTAAATCATATTGAAGAATGTAGTTGATAAGATAATATTAAGAATAAGCAAGACACAAAAGTTAACTTGTACAATTTTAGGACTACAAAAGTCGACAACTACTGTTTCTGTAAGTGATTACAAATATGCGTGATGGTAGTATGCTTTCATATCAATCCCTGAAAATATGTTATATCTAACTTACCATTCATACATTTCGTCCATTGCTATGTGCAATAAGCTCACTTTCTTATACTTTATAGAAAAGCTTGCTGTGTCTTTTACTCAAATATTTATCTTAACTGTTTCGTTTATTACTTTGTAAAATACTTTATGTACAATTATGTTCAAAAAATGTAATGCTACATGCATTTTTCCCGTTTTAGTGAACGAAAGCACTAAATGACAAAGATTTTTTCACTTTTTGGAAAGGAATAGAAAGGATATTATTGTAAATTATTTAATTTTTATGCACTATTGCGTTATAGTAGTTTACTTGCATTTGTGAATAATACAACTTTAATCCCTCACTTTTTCTACGAATATTTAGTGTCATATCACCATGACAATTTATTAATAATTGCTGTTTAATAATAGAACAACAAGTTAACATTTTGTCTGAGGAAATATTAAAAGTTTACTGCAGTGAACTCGAGACCAAATTCAAAGTGAGGTGCAGTAGATTTCAGTTGAATAAACTGCTTCGAGTACAGCTGATGTAACTGGCTGGCTTGATATTGACATAATTAATACCAATATGAAGCTTGTTTTAGTCAAAAATAATTCTTAGGTTGTTTATCTTCAGATTGAGTTTGGGATTCTAACGCAGTTCGGTCCCTTTTGTATCGTTGGTATTGCTCCAATTCCTGAAAGTTTTTATTACTCTAATTTTAACCTTATGCTAATGAATGCATTTTTCTACTCTCATTTATTTCAGAAAATAAGTTTTTACAAATAAAATAATGTTTTAATTCTTAAAAGAAAGTTATTTACTTGTGTCCGCTGGAAGATCATTTCATCGATCTCTGGTTCTCTGAATCGATCGTCTTCTAGTGGATCAGATTCTACCTTGGAATCTGTATTCTTAAAAATAAAATCATTAACGAGTACATCATATTCTTGGTGTACTTTGACGATAATGAATTTACTGCTTTTCTGTACTTGGAAATTTTGAATGAGTTGTAGGATATTTCAAAAAATGTGATATTAAGGAGTTTATTATATTACATTCATAAACAGAATATGAATACTTTAGATGGAAAATGTTCCAAAAATGCTCTGTGCCACAAATCACGAATATTTCTCATCTCAGTAAACGATGATGATGCGTTAAAACGTGGAGGAGCTCCAATATCCTGAAACCTTATCTCGCTCTTTCTTGCTTGTGAAGATTTTGAAGTTCTCAATTTATTTTTTGAGTCAATAAAGGTAATTTATCATGACTGAAACTTTTATGAAAAATAACCGCAAGACAATCAGAACCACATGGAACCGATATCGGCTTGTTATGGTCAGTACAGATCATTTTTTGAGCTGTTGTACCAAATACAATATTGCTAATAAGAGCTCGAGACCGAATTGCCAAATTTTCCATTTTAGTACTGAACGTCTACAATGCATTATCAACCTGTGATTGGTCTAATTTTTTAAAGATCTTTTGACATTTAATGCACTAAATCGCAATTTCAAATAAGTTTATAAAATCCCCAAAAAAGTTATCAGTTAGTGACTAAATCACTTATGATATTGAATAAATCTGAAATCAAAACATAAATTCACCGCCAAAGTAGCACCATTTGTGTGTGCCATAAAACGAAGGAATTTGTATACGTTCTTTCGTATCTCAGGCTCGAAGTTCTGCATCAAATTTATTTATTCTTAATAGCAATCACAGAAACTACATATTAATAATAATAACAATGATAAAAATAACAGTAATAATAATAATAATAATAAATTCACAATGATATCTATAGCTACACAATGGTGTGAATAATGACAGACCTGGAACTGGTCGTATTTTGAAGCAATCAGAATTAATGGTATAGCAAAAGAATCAACATATTCTGAATCCTAAAATTAATTTAATTCTTGACATTCAACACAGAAAAGCTTCGGTAACTTTGTTCTCTCGTTAGTTTCCTTTCACAATACAGCAACTGTACAGCAACTTGCTTCCGAGCTCAAAAATTTCGTTCCATTTTACATTAATTAAAACTTTGCTATGACTTTAAGAATTGTTTTTATTTATTCAGAAAAATTTTTACAGAATTTCTATAAAAGGAATTTATTTCAATTTGAATAATTGAATGTAATTGCACAATGAATTAATTTTATATTTCAAAAAATCTTAAATAATTCTATGTTGGCAATTTTTAAAAGAATATTTTTCCACTATTTTTATTTCTTACTTTTCGACGTATAAATTTGTATCATCCAGAAAAATTCGAATTATTAATTGCTTATTTCTGGATATTTTCATTACTTTTGCGTCACTGCTAAACTTGCACGAAATTTCACTGAAAGACATGCCTGCTCATCCTTCAACTTAATCTCTCTCTTCTTCACTAAAGATTCCTGCTGTGAAGTTTTCAGAAGCTCTTGCTGCGCATTTTCAACAGTTATGCGACAGCCATCGATAAAAGTATAGAACGTATCCCACATTTCAGAAGGTGTCGTTAAGTCAATAACAATCATTAAAGAACACTTTCTTAAAGAATTATTATCAAAATCTAAGTAAATATTTGCTTAATTTAAAAAAGTATTGAAACTGTTGAAATAAAATTAGTACAAGCTAGCACTGTATTAATACAAAAAATATTAAAGTTTAAAAATTTATCCGTTGAATCATTAAAATTCACCAATCATGCATGCTCGAAAAGTATATTTGATTCAAAATATATCACACTGGACCTAAATATATGTTACATATGTTAGTTGACCAGTGTACTTTCTCCATTTGAATAAATAAAATACAGTTCTTACAAGACATTATCAGCCGAGAGTGGTACTCCTAAGAGGTTGCTGAACACTGTACCACCGCCAAGTTCCCATATATGCGCAACATCTTTAACCTATAATTATGATGTCTCACGTCCAAATTTTATTGAAATAATAAAATGATAATTGATTTGATTTAAAAGCTTCACACTTGCAAACGTGACTACCATTTTTCACTTAAATGTCTACAAACAAGTTCCATATTTAGTTTATAATTATCACAAAAATGAAGTTTTCCATTGCAACTGCCTTCACCTTTTTGCTTCACTTACTTTGCCACGATTTCGACGTCCATACGTATACTCCAACGCAATCGTTGGTCTACAATCTTCGTCATTACGATTCAAGAAATTCATTACCATCGATGACTTACCCTAATAAGACACCAAACTATCCCTTTAATGACAACGAAAAATTTACACTAAAAATACCATTTTAATTGCTATTATTTGGAAAAAATTAATCTTTACTTCAAATTTTGACAAACACATTAAGACAAACCAAAATATATGCATTTATTTGCTCATTTTGTCGAATATTTCTTGCAAAAGCAGTGAATGCTTTAATAGCTTCTCACATAATTTACTAATTCCATAATTGGCACGCAAAATATCTGATGATTACAAGCTTTGAAAAAAATAATCTCAAAATTAAGTTAATTTTCATGATTTTTGAAGCAAACCTACACAATTTTTGCTTCCACAAATAATCAAATGAGCGTCACGTGCTGGCAAGTCATCACCTGCAAATTATCAAATTAAGAATTAAAAATTTGTTACTGCACTCAGAAATAAAATGATATGCTTAGATAAATTTATCCTGACTGAAATAATAACTTAGTCTCTTTTACTTCAACTTGGCATAATTTGACAGTTGCTTTGTAGAAAAACTGATTTTATTTTTATCAAAATTTAATCATTACAGAACTATTACTGCTATACAGTAACAATAACATACTACTTTTTCCCTGGTTAACAACAACGAAAATTACTTTGCTGATAAAAATTTTCTGAGGTAGGTGTCAGATTCGTGCTTACTTATGTTAATAGTAAGTTCTATTGTATTATATACAATAATGTTTGCAAAGCAGTCTTCAATGAATGGTTTACAGTAATGAAGGTTTTTGCTTGAAATGTAATTCTCTTCGAAGCTAAGGAATATACTTTTATATTTGATTTTTTTGTTAGTTTAGAATTGCAAATTAACCCATTTTGCTTTCTACGAATTCATACTTCTAATAGATAGATTGAAATTAGAGGGGCATTATTTAATCCCACTTATTTATTTGCTAAATCGTCCGCAAACAAGTACTGTATTGGCATGACTCATTAGCTTCTGATTTTAAATAGTAAGTACAATGATGTATTATTAAAATTTACACGTTGTTTTATTTAGCTGTTATGGAATTACACTTAGCTTACAACGCGTTATGAATGTTATCAGTCTGAAATATTTAAAATCAGAAGTACCGATCAAAGCGTTGTGCGAAGACTCAGCTCGCTTTTTAGATTCTTGCAAGCGCTCTTCTCGAGCCAGCGACCAGATATCAACCATCGTTCAGAAACTAAACATAATAAAGCTTAAAGAAAGAGATTAAAATTGTTTTATTGTGATTACTTTCAATAATCACTTATAATAATCATAATAATAATCATTATTATAATCAATAAAAGATTTGTTGATGAATGAAAAAGATTTTTGCCTGCAATAACTTCAATTTTCTTCCATATTTAACCGTTGCCATAGCCACGTTGAGTATAGCAATTTTATTGTGAGGCGCTGAAATCTTCAAAATACTTGAGAAATAATAAAGTCTAATGTTATCATCGAAAATAATTTTTAAGATTACAATTTTGTTATTTTTCAAAATATAATGATAATTGCAAATAAATCAATACACCTGATTAAGTAAAGTGGCAATTGAGAGTAGTCTTCAAATTTAGTGAAATATTTTTTCTTGAAAACTTATCCAACTTTTCAATGCAAATAATATCTGAACAAATTTGATTCAAAATTTATAAACACACACAAATGCCTACTAAATTGAAAATTACAAATACTGCTAAAGTGAATGTTTGTTTAAGTCCACATTTGTCAGCAGCTGCATGCAAGTAAATTAAGTTAACGTTTACTTTTCTTAAAAAAGTTCGGTAAATAACTTAAGGATAAAAACCAAAAATTTGATGACAATCAACAAAAACCGTGATTTTTGCTGTCTAATTTTTCTTTGTTAGTAATAAATACTATAATTGCTTTAATTATCACGCGTATTACTTATTACAACTTCTACATCCTTCTCGCTAATAGTTTCTGTATAGTGTATAGCAAGAATTTCTTGCTGATGTCAATCTAATCTAAAGATTACCGTATAAATTGTTGTGTTGAATAAATTTTTGGATATTTCAGATGGTGGACTTTTTGTTTTCAAATATTTTTGTGTCTTTTATTTGTAATGAAAATGTTTGAAGAAAATTTTTGTTCATTTAATTTATATTTAATTTAATTTCATCATTTTTTATATATTTAATTTGTATTTAATTCAATACGATATAATAATATAATGAGGCTGTTGTTTTTATTTTTGTCGTTTGATGTAAATGTCTGAGTATGTCATTAAAATTCGCAACTTTGAAAGGAATAAATTGTAAACAATAAACTAGTAAGTCACTAATTCCTAACAATTAATGACATAAAATATTATTTCAGTTTGATAATCCATTCAAACATTTTGAAAACCGATTATAGTCTAAAATCTCGTCTGTACTTAAATCATTAATGGCTACAACTTTGTACATTGTAAGTTAATTTTCCTCTGTGATATATGCAACTTTATATAATTATTGGGATCAGACGAGTACTGATAAAAAGAATGCAATTTCTTTTTAAATTTCAGAAATTTAATAATTTTGAAAAAAGTCAAAGTTAAATTTTTGCGTTAAAAAATTATAAATGCTTGTCATAATTATTTATTTTCTTAATTAAATCAAAAAGTATTTTCGAAGAAAATCAAACTATTTCAGAAGGCAAACTTTTTGATTCTTTAAAAAGCGTTATCAAAATTACAATTTGTGCG